TTCTTATCTAAAATATAGTTTTATCGGCAAAAGTATTATAATTATTATAATTAAACGTCTATAACGCGAGACACTTTTATACTTCTAAGAAGAATATTTCTAAGAAGTGTAAAAGTGTCTCGCGTCTATACTCGTTAAATTATTTAATTATTCTTACTTGTTATATTTTAATACAAATAAACAATTTCAATGGATTAAAATTCCTATTTTACATAACTGAAATAGCAATTAGAAGATAAATAGCAAGAATAGACTAAATAATTCGGTATGTTTACGTCTCTTGTAGACTTAATGTCTATAATTGCTGAACAGTTGCAGTCAATGAAAAAAAAATCATTGCTAATTTTTATCCTTACTGAATATTTTTTTCTTTTATTGAATTTTTTACTGAAATTTGATGATCGTGATTTTCATTTAATATTTTTCTGTGTAAATTTAAATGAATTATCCTTGCTTGAAAAAGCGTATTTCACTTAAGCCTGCTACTGGCTTTTGTATCCTTTTCTATCAAATTGATCTTCTTATCAAGGCGAACAATGTGATAGCAAAGATTAGGGACACTGCCGAAAATGGAACACACGCGATTGTTACCTGTACAATTGATAAAGAAACAGTGCAAGTCTAACGAAAATCTAAAGCAAGTCTTAGCAATTTTAAGGGAGCGTTACAATATTTCGCAATTCAATGCAATATTAACTGAAGTTTCCATCATCATAGAAACATCAGTAGGGTGTGGTATGAGTTTTGTCCTTAAATGAGACGAAGAAAGACTCATCAGGGGGAAGTTTGTTCTATAAACAGACTTGCCGAGAACAGTACGTTCTACCCATTTCTTTCATTAAATATTCAAATCATGTAAATTAATTATGAAAATCTAAATTCAATGATAATATTGAACGTCATAAATTTGCTACTTTACTGTCTACCTGAAATTGATAAAGAGTACAACTTTGAATGTAAGACATGATGAATCATGAACCATTACAATTAAATATTAGGTATCTAAAACCTGATGCTTTCAATTAGCTTATCAGTGATTTTCAACTAATTTGTAATGACGAAACATATAAAAAATCTTATGTATGCGTACTTTTGAGTATTATCCTAATACAATTCTAATTTGTTTGTAGAATAAACATTAAATGACGTTTTATGCAAATCTTATTAAAATTAGCAAATATATTTTTGGAATCAACATTTCAATTAAGCTTTTCACAGAAAAATTTTCATTCCTATTTTACAGTTTTGAAGTTCTTGGAATATTTGGTAACGTGTAAAATCATAAAAAATGACAGAAAATTCAACGAAACAGAACCATCTTATAACTCTAAAAATATTAATATTCTTATTTTTTGGAGGTGAGTGCTTTCATAAAATATTTATTTGTTTTCTTTTTAAAACTTAAGTAAAAAATTAGTTGGTATCAATTTAGTCATTATCAGACAGAGACTGTGTTATCCTTATCAAAAAGTTTTTAAAATTATTTATTTTGATATCATCATTCCCTCATCATTCCATTTGAAAACAAAACGCTACGAAAATGCATCAGTTTTCTTCAATGTTTTCTTCATGTTTTTCTTAAAATATAAAATTCAAGATGTAGGTATTTATAAGAATTATATGTACATAAATTTAGTAAAAGCATATCCTAAGCTTGTGACTTGCTTCTCTTCTCATGCAAAAGTATTTGAAATATCAAATTGACTGTATGTGAAGCTTCACACGTTTCTCACTTCTGCAAAATTTCTTAATAACTTGCTATACTTCATAGTAGCAAAAGGATGAACCAGTTTGAATTTTTTTAAAAGATGACATGGAAAAATATATTTTGAAAGTTT